CAAAGATTAGTTTACCTTCTCCCCCAAAGATTAGTTGCCCCCTCCCCCAAAGATTAGTTTGCCCCTTCCCCCCAAAGATTAGTTTTACCCCAAAGATTAATTTGCCCTTCCCTCAAAGATTAGTTTGTTCCCTTACCCCAAAAATTTGTTTTCCCCTCAATTGCCGCCTCCCCCCCCCCTCCCCCCAAGTTTGAGGCCATCTACTGCTGGTAATCTATACAGTGAGTGTTCTTTATGGCCTATCAAAATAAGTTTAATTTGATTGCAGGAACAAAGTCGGATTCTCAGTACACAGTTTCTCCTCTCCGACCAAGTATATGTAAATGCATCTATACCCCCAACTGATAAAGTTTGTTTGTGGCTTGGGGTAAGTATGAACAACAGAGAAAAACTTTGGGACTTACAAGATGTACCCCACTCTACAAATTAGAGGGTGTGCACAAATTAAGTATGTTATTTATACATTATAGGCAAATGTGATGTTGGAATATAACATAGATGAAGCAGACAAGATGCTGAGTAGAAATCTTGAATCAGCCAAAAAGACTTTAGAAACAGTTGAAAATGATCTAGGCTTCCTTAAAGATCAATATGTTACTACAGAAGTTAGTATCCTTTCCCAAAGGAAGATACCCCAAATGTTTGTGTTCCGCATTAATAACATACCTAGATTAGTTAACCCCAAATATAATTTTTGGTATGTGTAATATTTGGGTCATTCTAAGAAGAAATGTAATGTATCTTTATAGTAAAAAACCTCATCTTGATCAACTTTTTCACTGTCAGAGTTTCTGGATATGAGGTCATTAGGTGAATTTTTGGTACAAAAAAAACAAAAGAAAACGAATTTGCAATTCACCTAATGACATCATATCCGGAAACTTTGACAGTGAAAAAGTTGAGCAAGATGGGATTTTTTATTATAAAGATATATTACATTTCTTCTTAGAATGACCCAAATATGTTTGTGTGATTAATCGCACTTTAACCGCAACCCTTTTCATAAATAGTGAGTTAATGACCGGTCCCTTATGATTTTTTCTGTGTTGGTGTTGTGTACTCAGGTGAATATGATGTTTGTGATGTTACTCTGAGTGTATATCCACACCGGGCGAGCTCGAAAAATACGCCCAGCCACGGTGGGAATCGAACCTACGACCTTTGGAATACTAGCCCAATGCTCTGCCAACTGAGCTACGCGGTCAGGTCGGTTCGAGTAAGTGAAATTTCGGAACAGAATCTAGTTCCTTCGATACCAATGTAATCTAGTAATATGATTTTAGATGCCCTTATGGCTTAGTTTGTTTACCGGGGATTTTCTCAACTCACCAAACAGATATGGCTCGCGTGTATAACTGGGATGTTAAAAGAAGACAGGCATTAAAAGCAGCATCGTGATCTGTATATTTGTTTTAAAAATTTATGGTACTGCATGCCAAAGTACCATAAGAAAAATAGCCTGCGAAGAAGGAAAGACCGTTACGAAAGATTACCAAGAAAAAAGCTAGCCTCCGTTGCGCAAAACTTCACTGAAGGCTAAAGCGCATTCTCCCGACTTGCTTACGATTAGAGGGATATGGCAATATAGATTAAGTTTGTCTTATTCGAAAGAACAATTAAAATGATATATAAACTTCCTTTACAATTATTCCGGATCTTGCTTGGTTTTCGAAATAAATCGACTTATTTTGATCAAAAGCAGCATGCATTCCGCCATCTTGGATATGTATTCGATATGCATGCGTCACAAGTAGGGTAAAAAGCGAAATTTTTATCTTTCAAACTACATGTCATTATCAATATGAAACTCGATTTTCCGAAGTCTTTTTAGTACTCAATTAACTCGCAACATTTTAAGAAACTTTTCGAAGAAATTTAGTCCCACATGAAGAAGTTTTAACAAGTTTACCCTGCTTGTGACTTGCATCAAAAACTCAGTTAATTAGGTCAATTATAATACCAAGATGCACACTGTTTTTGGTCAAAATATTTCGGAAATCAAGGTACGAAAAAGTTGTAAAGAGTCTTCATATATAACTTTAAAAGTTCTTTCAAATAAGACAAAGTTAATTTTCATTACCATATCCTTTTAATTGATTTTTTCCTTTATTTTTCGGCAATCAATTATTGTCAGAAACATTACAATAACAACAGTGACAAACTATCAAATTAAGAGATCAACTCGAAAACTTTGCTTGACAACTTTGCATGAAAATACTCTTGATTACATGTAAGTTTGATCTAAAATTATGAAGATCAGAAAGTGTATGAAGTCTGTTGAGGTTCGATAAAAAGTGTTCAAAACCGAAAATCTTTTTGGCGTACCTCTCAAATTGCTTTGTCTTAGCTTTATTCTCTAGTTTAGACTGTTAACTACCTTTCTAAATGCATTTGCCGGTTGAGAAACATAAAATAATATAGTAAAAAATTGTGAATTAAAATATAATTTATGAATATCACTGATGCTTTAAAAGTTACGCGGACTTACGCCACTTATTTTGGTATCTCATGAGCACGCCACGATGCTACATGTAGATTTACACCAGCCGTTTGTACAAACCAAGGCTGTGTTGCAACTTTAAACCAGCGTGATCTTATTACCATCAAAGTAAAATTTGTGAATTTCGCAAGTTGAAGAACCATTCGTGTGGAGAAATGACTAAAACGTTGGCAGATATGGAGAAAAGAATGGCGAATGTCGAGAAGAATATGGCGAAAAAGGAGACGATGGAAACTCACATCAAGAATTTACAGACAAGTATGGCGACAAATGCCGCGAATATGGACACGCGATTGGAGAATGTGGAAAAGAACATGTAGAGAAACACCGCGGATTTGGAAGCGGGAAAGCTTGAAGCAGTAAATAATGAAGTGAGAGGATTGAAAACAGCTTTGATTGAAGGTTTTGATGAAATGAAGGATGTTCTTGTCAAGATGGAGGGCGAGATAGAGAAAACGCAAGAGTATTTTCCTTATCACCACTTGCTGTAAGAAATACAGCAAGTGCTGGTAAGGAAAATATATACCAAAATTCAGTAATATGCTCATGAGCATTCTCGCGAGGATACTGGATTTTCGTATATATATGCATGTGGGTGCTCATGAGCACACTGGATTTTGGTATATATGTGATGATTCGACTTTTCCGTTTTGCTCTGGGACAACCTTAATTGAAATAGCTGTATACCAAAATTCAGTAATATGCTCATGTCCCTCATGAGCATTCTCTAGAAACGGGCATACTCTGGGTACGAGATTGCAAAACTCACAGCTGGACACTGAACTTCAGACATCATTTTCTTTTTCGGGTACCATCTAAAATCTCTTGATTTTAGCATAATTTTACTCAAAAAGCACTAAACATATTTTCTAATCTTTCTAAGTTTGTTTGCCGATTGAGAAACGTATCGAAATGTCACGTGAGAAAAGATAATGTTATTATCTACGGCTGTTCATCGTTCGGTGCAAACAACGGTACATAACATGCAGCCTGTTGATTATCCTTATGCGAAGTATTCAATCAGAAAAATATAATCCGCTGTGCTATCGCGGACGACAGAATTAAAAACCAAAATAAAGCAAATATATTTTTGCGTAGTCTCGTTTAAAATTGAAATGTTTTTGTAGTTTTTAACCAAAAAATGTAATGAAAGTCGTTTGTAAAAGTCTCTGGAAGTAATCCTACAAGTTTCAGAATGTTTAGCTGGTGGGGAACAAGCGAAAAAGCAGAAAACGAGGGCAAAGAGGTAGAGAATAACGGTGAAAAATCGCCCGAGGGTAACTCGGAGGTGACAGGCGAAAAGGTCGAGGAAAAAGATGCCACAGAAACCGCAAAAGATCTAGCAAAGAATTTTGGAAGTAAGTTCGGTGCATGTTTGATTTTTGACCTGAAAATGAACACGATAAAGTTGAAATGAGCTCGCGATTTAAAGCATAAATTTGTGTAAATAAGACAATAAAGAGCGTATGTTTATAAATATATTGTTGATAAAATTGATATTTAATTTAACCCATTAAGCTGCATCGCACTCCGACGCCCTCACTTTATTATTTTATTCTGTCTAACATCATACGATTTTACTGGTCAAGGGTGCAGAGCGCTGCCGCTCAATGGGTTAATAATTTTACGAAGTGACTACATGACCGGCAGCTGGCTATCTAGTAAACTGCTGGCTATATAGTGACTATAATTAAAGTTGATAAACCGTTCCCCAAAGATAAACCGTTCCTCAAACCCTCCTCTAACCCCTAACCTAACCTTTTGAGAGTTAAAAAGGTGGAGAAAAAGTTGAAAAAATTTTAAGAAAAAAATATGCTAAGTCGGGTTTCACTTTCCGCATGCAGCACCTTTACCGTATGCGCTAACAGCAAGCTCAGTAAAACTAGTGCAAACAAATGTTTTTATATGTAACTATAGTTATTATATAGCCGACAGTTTAATAGATAGCCGGCTGCTGGTCATCTAGTCACTTTGATAATTTTAATGAAGGGACTAGATCGATCGTCAGCTATCTAGTAAACTGCCGATCATTTAAAGATGATGTCCAC